ACTTTTACCAGACTTTGTCAAGGCTTGAACTCAAGTCCCTCGTTGTTTTGTGAGGCTCTGAACCACAGTCTAGCGTCTCTTGTGTTGACAGACGGGACTGTTTTGATTAATTATGTGGATGATTTGATGATTGCTAGCCCCACAAAGGAACAATGTGAAGAGGACACAATTAGGCTTCTCCGACACCTGGCTGATGAGGGTCACAAGGCTTCTGTTTCAAAGTTGCAATTTGTCAAACAAAATGTTGTGTTTTTGTGTCACATTATAACCCCTGAGGGAAAAACCTTGTCACAAAAGCGTGTGACGGCAATAGTTGATGCTCCGAAGCCCTCAAACAAAAAGGAACTTCTTTCATTTTTGGGAATGTGCTCATATTGCAGACATTTTATCGCCAATTTCTCTGAGAAAGACAAGCCTTTACGTGATATGACTGTGGGAAGGAACATGTGTGCGTCCTCTCCCCTCGTGTGGACTCCAGAGGCAGAGCAGGCCTTTACAGACTTGAAAATTGCTTTGCAATCGACTCCAACTCTGGGAATCCCAGACCCAAATAAACCTTTTGTTCAGTTTGTGGACGAGAGATGTGGATGCATGACATCAGTACTTTTGCAAAAACATGGAGATCTACTAAAACCTGTCGGTTATTTTTCAAAACTTCTTGATCCTGTGGCGAGAGGTCTCCCTGCTTGTTTAAGAGCCATAGCTGCGTGTGAAACAGCAGTATTGGCATCACGTGACTTTGTTGGATTCTGCCAGCTTTTCTTGTTTGTTCCACATTCTGTTGCTTTGATACTACAGGAGCAGAAATCTTCACATTTTTCTGCATCTCGGTGGCTTCGATATCATACAACGCTCTTGGGATTGCCACATGTGACTGTCCATAAATGTTCTACACTCAATCCTGCCACATTGTTGCCCCTCCCTGGAGAGGGCACACCACACTCATGCATGGCAGAGCTGAATCAGATCTGTACTCCAAGACCAGATCTTTCTGATACACCATTGACTAACCCTGATTTAATTCTCTATGTAGATGGATCAGCATATCGAGACCCGGACACCGGAAGGTCGCATGCTGGATACGCTGTGGTGGACGACCACTCAGTCGTTCTTTCTTCCTCTCTTCCATCGATGTTCTCAGCACAAGTGGCAGAGCTCGTGGCTTTAACACAGGCGTGTGCATACGCAAAGGGACGCTCTGTTACAATATTTACTGATTCCTGCTATGCATTTGGGGTGACGCATGATTTTGGAGCTGTGGAGAGAGAAAATTTCACAATAAAATCAAAACTGGCCAAATGCTGTCAGGAAACAAAACTTAGCTGGCCAAAATGCTTGCCAATTGTCCTGATGTACATGCGAATGAGAGTGCGCACGCGTAACAACCTGTCCCCATTTGAGATTTTGTTTGCAGATCCCTCCAACGTAGGAATGGGACCTGCGGGACCTCAACCAGATGCCATCCTGTGCGAGGATGGCATGATAAGGTATTGTATAACCCTAACAAAGTCTCTTTCTGATATCAGAAGACAGGTGTCATCGGCCCTTCCCCAGCGTGCGGACCATCCACTTCACAACATCCAACCCGGCGACTTCGTCCTGATAAGGAACTTCAAGCCGAAGAGCTGGAATCACCATCGCTGGCTTGGCCCATTCCAAGTTCTCCTCGTCACTCACACCGCTGTGAAAGTCCAGGAGAGGCAGACCTGGGTCCACGCATCGCAGATGTGGCCGAAATGGATTATACGTGGTCACGTGTTTTGGCTCAGTCAATGAATCACACCAGTGTGTACACACTTAATTTGTGGTATCAATATGCAAAATTCTTAGCAGAGTCACAAAATCGCTCAAATTGTTACATTTGTACTCATATGCCTATTGCGTCATCAAACCCACACATTACACCTCTACCAATAGTTGATGCATTTACACATTTTCCAAAGATTCTGTACTCAACTGTCTCTGTTCATTTTTTCAATCAGACTGTCGCAAGGCGCACAGGTAAATGTCTCCCTCCACTCAAACCGGCTAATGATTCTGATCTCTTCAATTATTGGTTTAATGATGTAGAGGGTCCAATTTTTGGTCTGGTACATATCAGACCTGGTACTAAATTTGTATGTTACACCTTATCCTTGACCATCACAGATTCTCCTGTACAGATGGGATGGATCCCAATGTCATTTTGTTTAAATGTGTCTAATCCGTGCACTTCTTTTCATGGTAATTCAAGTTTAAACACTTCTCAGGCCGCTCCGGGTAGTACGTGTTCACCATACTTCACGGTTCCTGACTCAACAGGAACTCTTCCTCTGAAGGGTGTTTTGTGGCTGTGTGGCTTCAATGTCTATGTGAAGCTACCATTTAATTGGATAGGTCGTTGTGCTCTGATGACGGCTTCAGATCACTCTTACATCATCTCTACCATTCCTAGATCGCGAGGTAAGCGCGATTTTGCTGCTCATGATGCAGTTTGGGGAACGGATGTTCCAGATGATCACAAACTGTGGACTAAGCCAACAAAGGTACTTCTCTCCTTGTTCCCCCAGTTCGGTGTAGGGAAGGTTATGCTTAGAATGGAAACTTTGAATTATCGGTTTTCAAGTTTTGTGAATTCAACTGTAACTATTCTAGAAGCCAACAGAGTAGAAGTAAATGCGTTGCGTGCCGTTGCTTTACAAAACAGGATTGTTTTGGATCATTTGGTTGCCTCAAGTGGAGGTGTTTGTGTCTTACTTAATCAGACCGCTTGTTGTACTTATATTCCTGATAACAGTGCCGATGATGGGATCATTGCACAGGGTATTCGAAATCTGACTACCCTGCGCGATGCGGTTAACCGTGATTTTGTTCTAGATGCTTCATGGTTTTCAGACTGGCGAGCGTGGTTGATTCAAATAGGTACTGGACTTGGAGTAATATTAGTACTGCTGATAGTGCTGTCATGTTGTGTCATTCCTTTGATCCGTTCATTGATCCGGCGTATGATCTCGTCGACACTCGTTCAATACACTTCTCTTAACCTGCATGTTGACTGTCTTGATGAGGACAGTGATCCATTTAGTGAGATGTTACTTGATGATTTTGAGTAAATTGGTTTGTATGTTTAACCCATTTTATGACGGATTTTCTTAAACCTACTAGGTGTGAAAATTTTGATGTTCCAGGGTTTGTGTTATATTTTACTTATATTTTTGGTACTCAATAGCATGTGTGTGATTGATTTAGAATAATCAATAGGGTGGATTGTCATGGCCAGATTCCCACCATCAGGAGATTGTGTGATTATGTTGTGTAGCTGACAGATACATTTTACAGTTTCCCGATACTGCAGATTGTATTCCCATAACTCACTTTTGCATTACACAAAGACTCTATTGTCTTCAAACACAAAGGGACATTCTGCCATAAGATTCCGTGTGCTTTCTGTTGCAATCCGCAGGTGGGCTAATCTCAAAGGTTCTCGCTGTACCTAATGTATCGGTCTCTGCCCATCTACCATCTTTCTTATCTGCAGCTGTCTACGACTCATCCCATTTTGCCCCATCCGTGACGTGTGCTCATTGTTCTCTGATTCTTGTCCAAGTATATTATCGAATGTGTGGAATGAGGAGCGCCAGAGAGAAACGGTACAGGCGATCGCATGGACCGCTTCTGTCTGACACTTCTCTGCACAGAAATGTCATAGATTGTATTCATCACCTCTGTAAATAAACTGCACAAAAGACAAGTCCTGTTTCCTCTCGGATTTATTCATTTGAAGCATTGGAATTTCCAGTACAGATTCGAACCCAGGAAGAAGCTGATTTGAACATAAACTAGCTGGAGCAAATTTCCTTTTCTGGGCATTCTGCTTCATTGAGCTAGCGGGTTAGCATTGCCCATCTGTCTACAGTCTGTGTGTTTAACAGTGATGTGATGGTGGGTTTTTTTCTGAGTAAAAAAAAAACCCACCAATCTGCCCTGAGCAGCAGCCAGACCAGGCTCCTGCCCTGGCTCCTTCTCCTCCTAATCCTGATCCCTCGGTCCTGGACCAGTCCTGTCCTGGGTCCGAAACCGGTCCGGAGCCCAGTCCTTGTCCTGGTCCTTGGGACCGGGACAGGGACCAGGACCAGGGCCAGTCTCCTGCCCCTGGTCTTGGTCCTCGTCCTGATACCTCGGTCCTGGACCAGTCCTGTCCTGGGTCCGAAACCGGTCCGGAGCCCAGTCCAAAACCGATCCTGGTCCTTGGGGAGTATGACTCGCGCACCAGCACCGTCCCACCACCCTACCAACCATCCTCAGTGTTGGGTGAAGATCCACAAAGACATACTGTCTTGTTACCACGGCAACACAACACACACACACTACTGTGTGATGTCACTGCGACGGTAATGTCACTGAAGTTTGAAAAACTTTATTTAAACCAAACAAAACGGACCAGAACCTTCTAGAATACCATAGAAGGCTGGTTGCCTAGCAACTGTAGGGTGACAAAAAACACTTTCAGCAGCCACAAACAGACGCCAAAAGAAAACTCCTTAATTCTATTCAGAAGACACAGGACAGTGAGCAGTGTCTTCCCCCACTGAGACAAGGATCAAAGACGTTTTGTGTATCCCTTCAGAGCATCAAAGACATTCCACGGCAGTCTCCCGACAAGGGGGGTTTGACAAACATCACATAGACTGTGGACTCTTAGGACTGTGATCCCTGATACACTGAGAACATTTAAACTCCAAAAATGTACACCTGCATTTCTGTTGTTGTCATTTATCTTTATTGAATTGTGAGTCACGATGTCTTTTGAAATGTATGTAATAAATAACCATTTTTTATTCATTAACATTGTTTAAATAGAAATGCGTTTATGTGTGAAAGAGCCGGAAACAGGAAGTGACCAACGGACACCCCCCCCCCCCCCCCCCACACTGCTGACGCACTGCTGACACAAATTTGGGGTTTGCCAAAACGAATGCTTCACCATCAATTAACGCTGACTATTTTCACTGGTATGATGGATGCCTCAGAAAAAAGCCGGAAAAGAAGGCACCGCCAAACGCCCGCCAACAACTCCGAATAAGAGTGAGATGAAGAAAGTGAAAACCGGTGAGAAGGACACAAGCCTCTTTACAGTCTCTCATTGAGCGTTTTGACAAACAAGACAAGAAGCTTGATCACATGACGACTCTAATCAAAGAACACAGTGTGAGCATCGCTTTCAACATGACGGATAGAGGAGCGCAAAAAACAAACGGCCGAGATGAAAAGTGCGATGGCAGCGTTAACCCGGGAAAACAACGAGCTAGTGAGCGAGTCAAAGGAGTTGAAAGATTCAAGAGAAGGTGGAATCTCCGGATTAACGGGCTCAGGGAAAGAGAAGGTGAAAATGTAAGGCAGGATGTCATCCATCTCTTAAGCCGCATTTCACCACAACTTGCCCCAAAGATGGAAGAGGCTGTGGATACCGTTCATCGGCTAGGGAGAACATTCGACAACAAACCACGTCAAGTTATAATGCAGTTTGTCAAGCGAGTTGACCGGGACCACGTATGGAGAGAGACAAACAAGCATCAGATCTGTGAAGAGCTGAAGATACACTTCGTGGAGGACATGATAAAGGAGGACAAGCTCGGGATGCTGTGTGGCCCATCATCGCCAAGGCGAGGAAGGAGGGGAAGAAGGCGGGTTTTAAAGGTTCCTACGTGTATGTGGAAGGGAAACAGGTCACGGCTGCTGGGTGAAGATGATACTCTGAACTCTTTTTTACACTTGGGTAAATCCGAAAAACTACTCTTTTAAAGGCGCTATACCCGTTTCTGCAATGTTTGAATGTTTAGCACCGCCCCCCAACTGCCTCAATGGCTTCTCATTTCCCCTACGCTCTCATAACACAGAGCCACCTAGTTTTATTTGCAATCTGATACATATGCTAACATTAGCATTAGCGCAACTTCTTGTAAGCTCTGCAACAATCACTGATGAAATGGCACTAAAGCAATGCACTGCTAACACAATATATAAGTAAAAGAATACCGCTAGTTTCGCGTCCGAATGTATTAATTTAAAACCTTAGAATATATTCTAATATTTAATTATAATTTGTTATAGAGCTCCTCAAAGCAGCAGCAGCAATTCTTCTGATAATTTTTTCTTGATAACAGAACTCTCAAATCAATAATGACCGAAGCCCCAATGCAACCTCTGTTTGTAATTCAGGTGTGTAAAATACTGCCATTACTCTGCAAGTACAACAAGCTATCAGCGCCTGTCACTACACACTCGTCTGTGTAGAGGAGCCAACGGAGCTAGCGGAGCTAGCCACGCTCAATAAACAACTACATATCTATCAATCAACACCATTAAACGTCAATCGGACAATACAGTATACATATACATCCTTAACACACATGCACGGATGATTTCAGAATTTGCTGTTAACGTTTTCATGACAAAAATACTGTTTCAATGTGACAAAAAGCGATTGCTAAAAACCCGGAAGTTACCGTGAAACAACTAGCTAGCTTAGCTGTTACCTGCCTAGCACGTCCCGGTGAAACCTTTGGGAGCTAACTATTTTATTTGCAGTCATTAAATACATTTCGAATTACAAGGGTTGTCTAATATTTGTTCACATTTTTTTATTCAATCATTTTGTTCATCATTTTTTATTTTAGAATTATATTTGAATTATGAAGTTGAAGCCCTGGTGTTTAGCAGCGCTGTAGAGGCTAGAGGACGCAGACTGTTCGCTGCTCGTTCTGTGAGCGGAGGAGAACAAACGGCCCGCTCAGACTCTACTCAGCACTTTTCACTGCTTGTAATTCTTACACAGATGAATCAATTACCTCAAGTTTTCAATTAAATGATGTATTATGATACAACTTTTATGTAGTAAAAAACATTTTTATGAACTACTTAGAAAAAAAATCGGGTATAGCTTCTTTAATGACCGTTAAAAGCATTTTTTTGTGTGGTATTAGCGCGTTACTTAAGCTAATATTTTTTCAACCTAATATTGGGCCTCATTCACGAATAACTTCGTAAGAAACTACTCAACTTTCTTCTCAAGTTGTCCTTAAGTAGATTTCTAAGAAGTCCCCACGTGGGATTCATCAACGCACTCGTAAGGCGCTGAATTGTTCGCAGCTGTTCTCTCAGATTGATGAATCCCATTTCCTCGTAAGTACAGCGCGCGTGCCAGGTGCTTCATTAGCATAGGTACTTAGCATAAGTAACCGCCCATTAATGCCCATATAAGGGGATGCAGGGCCGTGTGCAGACGCCAGAGGAAACAGCAACAGGCCTAAAGCAAAGAGTTACACGGAGCAAAAGAGTCACCCTTTTTTCTTCTTTTACCAGACTGAGAATAAAGTTATAAAATGTTGACTTAAAAGTCGAAATATTATGATAATAAAGTCGAACTAGCAAAATTATGAGATTAATCTAAGAATATGATGAGATTAATCTCAAAATGTTATGATCTTAATTTAAAAATATATTATGTATTATTTTAAAGATGAATCTCAAAATGTTTTGAGATTAATCTCAAAATATTTTGGACCCTGGGAGGAGATCCAGCGCGGACCAGCGCTGAGACCAATGCAGACCCGAGGAGAGACTGGAGTGACCAGCACACAGAAACCAGCGCGGACCTATAGGAGAGACCGCATAGACTGGAGTGACCTGACTGGAGAGACCGGTGCGCAGAGACCAGCGCGGACCGAAGATAGACCGCATAGACCAGACTTGAGAGATCAGCGCGGACCCGTATGGATCCAGGAGCATGCAGCACGGACCCGTATGGAGAGAGACCAGTGCAGACCCGTATAGATCCATGGGAGAGACCAGTGCAGACCCGTATATGGGAGAGACCAGTGCAGACCCGTATAGATCCATGGGAGAGACCAGTGCAGACCCGTATATGGGAGAGACCAGCGCAGACCCGTATAGATCCATAGGAGAGACCAGCGCAGAGACTCAGCGCGGACCCAGTAACCTCCTGCAGCAGCAGTATATATGCCGTTGTTCTGTGGCCCGTGGATAAAGAAATGCCCCCTATAAATAGGAAGGGGTCACTAATACACGGCAAGATTTCCAATGTATTTGAGAAAGCGTTGGCACATTTCATTTCAAAATGAATTAAAAAGTAGGCCAGATCTGCAGTGAAAAAGGCGGTATATAAATAAAGATTACTAATAAAGATTACTACAAATAAATAAATACATACATCGATATGACGGACATATCACTGGAATGTTGTATTTTTATTCAACTTCACCAAAGAGGACAACCCCAGCGTGTGAACATGTCGGCACTGAATGTGTACGAGTGCTCCTGAGGACTCGTAGGATTTGTACTTGCCCAAGAGAAATTCTGGTTACGAGAAATATTCGTGAATGCCACTTTCTTCGTAAAAACCGCGTAAGTAGGATTTACGTACAAATCTGTTCCTAAGAACCGTTCGTGAATGAGGCCCATTGTTATTTTTATATCTTCGTTATTTTTTTAATTTATGTTGGACATTAAAAGTCATCTTTTGTTTTCTTCCTTAAACACTAGAGGTTTACAAGATAGGGTCAAGGGAAAAGCCATTTTCTTATTCTGTAAAAATCATAAAGCTCATTTTACCTTCTTGCAGGAAACACACTCCACATCTGCGGATGAACATTTTTTGGAACAATCAATGGGGGGGAAAATGTAGTATAGTCATAGTACCTCAAAGTCAGCTGGAGTGGCCATTTTATTAAATAACTGTATGTAACCCACTTTGGAATTAACATGAACGACTAGGTTCTTAAAGAGCTCAAATGTAAAGTGTTGGAACTATAGCCACAATGAAAGACAGACAGTAGTTAAATGTAAATTGATTTAGTTAATTATGTCAAGAATTATTACCACAAAGACTTCCGCTTCTGCCCTATGGAGTGAGCAGTGCACCTACGGCGGCTTCGCGTAAATTTATTGATTAAAAAGTTTCTGGGTCGGAGAAATAAGCCTTTACTTGCTACAACACTTACTGGCTGCGCGAGCTACGATATGCCACCAAAAAACCAAAGAAGATACACTCAGCAGACTCTTCAGACAGCCGCAGTCTCATCGGCTAACGACTCGGCTAACACTCCAGCTAACGCACATGAATCGGCCGTAGAAGAGGTTAGCAACATGGTGGAAGCTACACTGCTAGCCACGGATCAACCGGAGGAGTCTCCTCTCACGGTACAAACTCTGAAGAGCGCACTGCAAACACTCAGGGAAGGCTTATCAGTGGATATTCAAACACAGATGGGGAGAATGAAATCCGATATCCAGAGAGAAATCACCGCTCTGCAACAGGAGGCTAAGGCTGATGGTGATGCATTGAGACGAGAGCTATCGGAGCATACTAGCAGGCTAAATTACAACCATGAGGAAATCAAACGGGCACACATTGAGATTGAACAGACCCTCAATGATTACAGCGACAGATTGACCACGCTGGAAAAAGCACATGGATCGCTGGAAAAAGAGTACAAGAAAGTTTCTGAAAAATGCATGGACTTGGAAAATAGAAGCAGAAGGCAAAATCTACGTATTATAGGGATCAAAGAAGGTGCAGAAGGAGGTGATCCCCGTCACTTTGTAGCGCGTTTTCTGCAACAAGTTTTGGGGCCGGAAAACTTTACTTCCCCCCCAACAATCGACCGGGCACACAGAACCCTAGCCCCAAAACCAACACTAGGCGACCGCCCCCGTGCAATTCTTGCCCGTATGCATTACTTCACAGAGAAAGAAACAATCTTGAGACTTTCCAGAGAAAAAGGCAAGCTCTCCTACGATGGTTCCGTTGTACATATTTTTCCAGACATCTCCCCAGAGGTGGGCCGCCTCAGAGCCTCATTCAACCAAGTGAAGCCCAAACTACGAGACGCAGGAATCCCATACAGCCTGTATTACCCAGCGAAGATGACAATAACGGTGAAAGGAACCAGGCACGTGTTCACAGAGCCACAAGCAGTGGAGGAGTTCATCCGTAATATCGCACCAACAGCCAACGGAGATAAAGACGACTAAAGCAAGTAAACAAAGTAAAGGACTACTCTGGGAGCAAGACAGACAAAAAGACTGAATGCAATCGAAAGAAAAGAGGTTTGGCATCTCGGACAGTGTATATAAATATTGCAACTTTGTATAAGGTACCATCTTACTCAGGCGTTTATACTTTTGATATAACTTGGAAGGAATCTTTTATTTATTTCTATTTTAAGATATGTGACTGCGTAATAGCAGACGTACATCTCCCAATTTATTTTTTCCGTGTATGTATACATATTATACATCTCTTTAGTTATTTGTAGTTATTTTACCTCTTTACTTTTGACTCGCTCCTAGATAGTTTTATTAGGTTAGACCCAGAGACAAACAAAATAGAAATAATGTTCTTAATTACTTACCAATAGCGAAGTTTAGTGAGAAGTTTTGAGAGTTAGTTTCCTCTCAGTTAAAGTAGTTAGTCCTTACAATCAGGTCTTTCATTTGGGGAAAGACAGAGAGGGGTGGGTGGGTTTATGTTCTGTTTTTTGTTTCTCTTTCTTTGTGTGTGTGGATGTGTATGGATGTTTTCCCATTCCCCCTTGTTCCCCCAAGGATGGGTCCAGACTACAAAGCAAACGTGAGTGCTTCCGAAATATGAGTGTGTTACGAAACATTGTCAAATTTGTGACTTGGAACTGTAAGGGTATAAACGGAACTGTGAAACGAGGCAATATACTAGCTCATTTAGAAAAACTTGGTGCAGACATTGGTTTTTTACAAGAGACTCATCTGAAGGATGGTGATCACAATAAGCTGTGTAAAAAATGGATCGGACAAATATATCACTCCCATTATAGCGATAAAAGTAGAGGTGCTGCAATAATTATAAAAAGATCAATACCATTTGTTATGGAAGAAGTAATTCAAGATAAAAAGGGCAGGTATGTTATTGTTATAGGAACTCTTCATAACATCCCAATTACAATGATCAGTATATATGCCCCTAATATTGACGACAATCAATTTATGTTATCACTTCTTTCAGCTGTACCTCACATGGATACGCACAAAGTTATTTTTGGCGGAGATTTCAACTTGATACTCGACCCACAACTGGATAAATCTTCACCGAGAACAGCAGCCCTGACAAAATCAGCCAAGTCCATTCATAACTTCATGAATGCCTGTAAAGTAGTAGACCCTTGGAGAGAGTTACATCCTAACAAAAAAGAATATTCATTCTTTTCGCCGGTACATCACTCCTACTCTAGGATTGATTTCTTCCTAATTGATCACGATTTATTACCAAAAGTACATAGCTCTGAATATAAAGCCATTGTCCTGTCAGACCATAGCCCAGTACTCCTTGAAATGTCTTTTGGATACAAATCAACAAAGGTATGGAGACTTAACAATTCCTTGTTAATCGACCAAAAAGGAATAGAAGAAATAAGAAAACATCTAGATTTATTTCAGAATACTAATGATACACCAGATGTATCAAAAAGCACATTCTGGGAAGCCCAAAAAGCCTACTTACGCGGGCAGATAATTTCATGGAGCAGTTATAACAATAAAAAAAAGCGAGAAAAAGAAAGTGAAATATTAAACAAAATCGTAGAAACAGACAGACTATACCAAATTTCTCCCACTACTGACTTGTATAATAAAAGACAGTCTCTGCAGACAGAACTGAATTTATTGTACACTACTGAAACGACCAGACTGCTAACACGCTTAAGGCATAAACATTATGAATATGGAGAGAAAATGGGCCGACAACTAGCATACCAAATAAAGGAACAGGAGGCTTCGAGATCAATAACCAAAATAAAGACTCGGACTGGACATATAACTATTGAGCCAAGGGAAATTAATGACACTTTTAAAGCCTTTTATTCTAATTTGTATACATCCGAATCCAAAAAAGACCCTAAAGTAATAGATAACTTTCTGAAGAATCTTGTTATTCCCCAAATCAGTGAAAACCACAAGAGTGTATTAGAAGAACAAATAACATTAACAGAAATAAAACAAGCCATACTTTCAATGCAGACATCAAAATCTCCCGGTCCAGACGGATTTACCACGGAGTTTTACAAGACATTTAAGGACCAAATATCTCCGATCCTACTAGAAGTATTTAATGAGGCAATAACTAAGGGGACTCTCCCACCGTCTTTCTATGAAGCCAGCATTTCACTTATACCAAAGTCTGGGAAGGACCCCTTGGACCCTGGCTCATACAGACCTATTAGCCTTCTTAATGTAGATTATAAAATCCTAGCGAAGATATTAGCACTACGCCTTGAAAATATACTCCCCACTATTATTTTCAAAGATCAAACAGGGTTTATCAAAGATCGGCACTTGTTTTTTAACATTAGGAAACTATTTAATGTAATCTATACTGGGAAAGATAAAAACACACAGGAACTGCTGCTCTCGCTGGACGCTGAGAAGGCCTTTGACAGGGTCGAGTGGGACTATCTCTTCTCGGCCCTGTGGGGGTTTGGTTTTGGCCCAATTTTTGTATCTTTGATTAAGTTACTGTACTTCCATCCTCAAGCCTCTGTCCGCACCAACAATACTCACTCTTCTTACTTTCCCTTAGAACGTTCAACTCGTCAAGGTTGCCCCTTATCCCCCCTATTATTTGCAATAGCAATTGAACCTTTGGCCATAGCCCTAAGAACAAACATGGGATACTCTGGCATAATCAGAGGCGAGACTGAGCATAAGGTTTTGTTGTATGCAGATGATTTATTGCTCTTTGTATCAAACGGCGAGAAATCCTTGCCTGTTATAATGTCCACTTTGAGTGAATTTGGGTCAATATCAGACACTTTTAAATATCTAGGAATTACAGTCACTAAAGAGTTTTCAGGTCTTTTCAAACATAACTTTTCTATCCTATTTGATCAGATGAAGCAGAACCTAGACAAATGGATGAATCTCCCGATCTCGATGGTGGGAAGAATTAACATTATACAAATGAATGTCTTGCCAAAATTCCTGTTCCTGTTTCAGTGTATCCCTTATTATATTACCAAGTCTTTTTTCAACAAATTGGATAGTCTCATTTCCCAATTTATATGGAGGAAAAAGACTCCTCGAATTAAGAAAACATTTTTGCAAAGACCTAGAACTCTTGGTGGACTGGGGCTACCTCACTTTAAGTTTTATTATTGGTCTTGTAACATCCGGTCCATGTCTTTTTGGTGTAATTCCGGGGGGGCTGAGTGGGTAGAGATGGAAAAACAAAGTATAGAGCCAGTGTCATTACAAGCTCTAATTTATTCATCATTAAAGGCTACGCTTCCAAAATTTAAAAGTACTGTAGTTTCTCACTCTGTAAAAATCCTGTATCAAATCAGAAAACATTTTAAGTGGAAAGAGATTTCATTATTGGCTCCAATAACTCATAATCACGAGTTTACCCCAGCATGTTCGGAGCTATCTTTTAATCAATGGGAGGAAAAGGGAATTGGGTCATTGCAGGATCTTTTCATTCAGAGAACATTTGCAACATTTGAGCAACTTTGTATGAAATACAAGATTATGAGAACAGACTTTTTTAAGTATTTACAAATCCGCAATTTTGCAAAAACAAACCTTCCATCCTTTCCCTACCAGCCCCCTGAATATGATTTTAATATGTTACTACTACGAGATCCGCTAAAAAAGGGTTCAATCTCAAAAATCTGTAAAGATTTATCTAAACTGGAGGACATGCCTTCGTTGGAACACCTGAGAGAGGCATGGCAACAAGACTTTGAGGAAAACATCACTGCCGCCCAATGGTCAAAAGCACAAGAGAATGTCCACTCCTCGTCCGTATGTGCTCGACACGGCCTACTGCAGTTCAAGGTCTTGCATAGACTGCATCTTTCTAAAGCACGATTGTCTAAAATGTTTCCCAAAACCAACTGGACTTGTGACCGCTGTGGTCAGGACAAAGCATCACTTTCTCACACCTTTTGGAGTTGCCCAAACATCGCACCATTCTGGACACAAATATTTAAATTGTTATCAAAGATCTGTCAAACACGGCTGTGCCCGGACCCTGTGCTGGCGATGTTTGGTGTTACCCCAGTTTCTGCCAGTCTCTCAAGCGGAAAGAAAACGTTTGTTAAGTTTGTGACTTTGTTAGCTCGGCGTCTTGTACTGACGAACTGGAAACAAAAGCAGCCACCAGCTTATGTACATCTACTGCATGATATAATGAAACATGTTCAATTGGAGAAAATCAAATTTGAACTGAGAGGAAAGGTTGACTTGTTCCACTCAACATGGGATAGTTTTCTGGAGTACTTTACTAATTATGTAAACTAGATATTGATAGGTTTGCTGGACCCCCCCCCCCTTCCCTTTGTGTGTGTGCGTGTGCAAGGGTGACTGAGTTTATTATATATATATTTATTTTTTTTATTTTTTATTTATTTTTATTTATTTACTTATGTTTTTTTTTTAGGGGTCTTATATTTTATTTTGAACCAAACTCGTTCAGTGTATGTGCAATATGTGTACATAGATATGTGTAGATATACATATACTTTATCTGTATTTATTATTATTATTTTTAATTTTTCTTGGTGAGTCACATACTGATATGCATACTGACACCTTTGTTTTGTCTTTTTTTGTTTTGTTTGTGTGTGTTTTGTCTGCATACAAAAAACATGTTAAAACTTAATAAACAGATTTAAAAAAAAAAAAAAAAAAAAAAGAATTATTACCACAAATACAATGTAATGTAAAATAAAATACAAAATAAATAGGCGCCTTTAAAATAACCCAAAAATAAACCCTTAAAGTCTGTGAGTGCACTTAAAGTTTTGTTCAAGGTGGTCAGCTAGTCAGCTGACAGGGTCCTACGCAGCCGATAGCTCATGCGGTCTGCAATGGGATCATCCAGTTTTGGCTCAGGTGGGGTGGCTCGCCATCTAGTGGTCTTCTTCAAAGATGTTTCCAAATCTCATTAAAAAGACCTGACCTGTATTAAAAAGACAGGCTAATAAATTTCTTGCTCCAGTCAT